CCCCAAAACCCCAAAACCCCAAAACCCCAAAACCCCTGCGGTAAGGATTGGACATAAATGCAGTATTCGATTAATTCTGATTGTGCAAATTACTTTAGACCTCAAAATAAATTTATTAATTTTTATAATCTGTTCTTAAAATCAAATATGATAAAGCACTTTATATAACAAAAAAATAGTTAGAGCAAGAGTTTGAAACTTCTTACGAATAGTGGGAGAATTATCACTGAAAAGCAAGTCAGGCAAAGGTTAGTAGAAAGCTAAGCATGATATTATCATATGGTTCAGAAACAAGTGTAGGCTAGTCAAGATCAGCACACCTAGTTATAGCATTTAGTTAATAAGCAAATGAGAAATTAGTAAATGAATCATCAAATAGAGAACCAATTCAGTACTAGTCATTATAAATAACAACTATTTCAAAATATTGAACTTCAATTTGCTGCAAGTTAGTTAGATGGATATACCAATGATGAGAACTACAGCCTTCATTCTAATTAAGATGGAGTTTCACTAAATGATATTGATTTCTCAAGTAAAAACTGGAGGAATCAATAATGTGGCATTTATAACTATAGCAACCTATATAAATATCGTCTAGCAAGATAAGTTAGATATTTCTCAAGCCTACCGACTAATCAAGATAATGAGAATAATGTGCCATTGGGCTAGAATATCAAAGTTACTCAGAATTTCGAAGAATCTATATATGAAGGAGCCAAACTAATTGATCCCAAATGCCCTTACGAATATGTACCTTAGCCTCGAGTGGCCGATAAATCTTTGCCTTTTCTCAAAAGATTCCCATAATCTATAAAATGCACGTTATTAGATTTCTAAGATTTTGTCTGTGATATCATTTTCAGAAGGACTGATTAGGCAATTTATAAAAATACAGAGTTCATCAAAAGAAATTGGCATACATTCAGCCATACAATGGCACATATTTGGGAAGAATTAGTAAAAGTTAAGGATGGTTTCAAGTTACTGAAGGACGATTTCAAATTTTTCGTCAGATTGCAAAAGAGAAAAATAGACTACAAGTATGACAAGCCCTCATACAAAAGTGATATCAAGCTAAAGCAAGTAAAGTCAGATTTCATTAAGTTTATACCTTTCTCTCTTTTCATTATTATTCCTGGTGCTGAGCTGTTACTACCTGCATGGTTGGTCGTTTTTCCTAATTCCATTCCATCACAGTTCTTATCTGAGGATGCTAGAACTTAGTAATTCAAAAAAATGATTGAACGTAGGCACATTGCTGCTGAAAAGCTACTTTACATTCTTCCAAGATATTTATATGCACTGGAAAAAGATCCAAGTGTAGATCCTAATGATAAAGAGCAAGTTAAGCAGCTAAAGCATATTTTGAGATCAGAAAATGTTCTCCCCACTGATTTGCTTCAGTTCAGATAGCTCTTTTAAAAATACGCCTAATTCAGTTACTTCGGTCCACAAACTCTTCTGCATATAGCTCATTTTATGAGTTTGAACCCAGTTACTGGAATCAATACTATTAATAACTTAATCAAGCCTTTCAAGGTTAAGATCCCTATCGATGCGCCAATAGTTAAATACCTTACAAGGATGGTTATCACAAGAGAGCTAAATTTGTATTTTAAGAAACTCAGAGATGAAGATGTGCTGATGAGTTTTGAGTAACTTGATTCTCTAACCGAGGAAGAACTAAACTTCATTTGCTATAAGAGAGGTATTGAAATTCAGGATAAACCTTTTCAATCTAAAATGAAAGATCTTAAACTCTGGATATCTATCTCAAACCTTAGAAATGTGCCCCACTCATTACTTTTGTACTCTAGAATCGCCGATTATGCTGATGATCTTTTCTAAATCAGTGAAGATGAGGATGAATATGAGGTTCTGAGAAGAGCTTAAAGTGAAATATACTTTGTTGAAAAAATGAGGGTATTCGAGAGAACATTCGGTATAGACTAACTACATGCTATGGTAAAAAAGCTAGAACACCAAAGAAAGACTACTACTCACAACCCAGTAGAGGGGAAGTTTTACTTCTCAAAAAATGATCTTGTTCTTTATACCATGATTCTAGACGAGTTCTAAACTAGACATAAGAATCTCTCAGATAAAATCAATGAAACCTATAGAGTTGGTTACTTGATGCTTGACTATCTTGAAAAATAAATTATCATCGATTACCACATGAGAGGAGAGCAGGCTGAGCTTGAGAAAGATCATCCTGAGGTAGCTGAGAAAGCCAAAAAGTATCTTGGATTTGAAATGTATTACGAGCTTTCAGGCAAGAACAAGCCTTTATCTTCTGAATCAGAAGAGTTTAAATTCTTGATGCAAAAATCTGAGGAACTAAACAAAAAGTTCCACAATGATATGGAAAACTATAAAAAGTCGACAAAGGATTCAGCAATGAAATGATAAATAGTAAAGTTTGATTTAAGTTATTAGAATACCAGCTATTAAAATTAGATAACTAAATTATATATTTCTGCAAATTCAAAAATTAACGTATATCAAATTTAATATTCCAACAAACTATAGGGTTCATTTTCTAGTATTTTAGCTTTCTGTTTCACTTCTTAAGATTTCAGGTGTTACCTTGATATGCATGAAAGTAGTAACCTCTATTTATAAACTTTAAATATTAGTTATTTTTACAAGTTCTACAGATTGGACACTTATTAGATTGCATTTTTACAGCTTGCGAGCATTCTCTACAAATGCACAAATGTCTGCAAGGTAATAAAATGGTGTCCTTGAGTCTTGAGTAGCATATCACACATTCTTTCCTATATTGCTCGACATTAATGAAATGATAAATAAATACCATTATTCTTCTTTTGTGCAAGGATTAGAGTCAATTCCAAATACCTCATTCAATTCAAAGACATGATTCTTATATATATTTAATTGCTTTGCAATCTTAAGCTCATATTTAAAACTGACAGACCCTCTTTCATTTTGACTCTGAATTTTGTTAAAAAATCCTAATGTCACTATCATTGTTTGTTTTCTCATCAGACTACTATCTCCCTATAATTATTAGTATAAATAAGAGTGGCTAAACTAACTATTGTGATTATTATGGGATAATAAACATCTGAAAACGTCTCTAAATCATCCTCAGAAAACTGATCGAGCATTAATTCAGTTTTGAAGATTTTATTTTGAGAGATTTCTTCATTAATTGTTTATTAAATAACATGATTTGATTATTCATCAGATAGAATTGACGGTTAATGGTATTTCGGTGCAATGCTAAAAGTCTTCTTTGCCTTATCATGAGTAAATTTACTGCAGAGATAAACATTTATTTCACTTTTCTTCCTACAGTCATACTAGAACTAGATTTCATAAGAATTTCCACTTTTTTATGAGTTTTTTGTCTAAAATAATTAAGGTAAAAGATTCGCTTACAAATTTAATTGACTATTTATTCAGACTAAAAGGAATTTTAAGGACAGTAACCTTTCTAGATGGAGCTTGTTCATGATGAGAATTAATAGCTCTTTGAAAAACCCAACTTATATTTCTATTTGCATTTTGAATCCTAAAATTTAATGATTTCATCTTATTTTACTGTTAAAGCTATTAGTTTCTGATTTACTCAGCAGTTATTTACTCTCTAGCAATCTAGTTCTAGTCATTATTGCTATTCTTTAATTATAAATTGTGAAATTAGTGATTACATTATCATTTTGAAATGTTTGCATAATTTAGTTACCCATTTTTTAAACAAATAAAGCTTAATATTCTTAATTTTGAATAAGCTCTTATTACACTTATTAATGATAAGAGGGGTTTTGGGGTTTTGGGGAGATCGGAAGAGCA